CAGAATTATGCTTACATTTCTAAAACCCTAAACCACCGTAATGTGTATATTTATAAGCTCAGAACAATAAACCCTAATCCGTGTATAATTAGAGACTAAACCCTACTTCCAATCCTAGTCGGCCCATCTGTGTAGTCTAAAATTTATCCATATCGGCTACACACACACTTCCTAGAGACCCTAGTTAATTAACATAATTTAAAACTCATTTAACTTATTTGACATTAAAGTTAATAATTACTAAATTAATCCAACTAAAGAAAAACAAAAACCAATTAAATACAACAATTCAAAGAAATACAACAATTAAATAAAACAATAACTGAAATTAACTCAATTAACTAATTAATTAACAATAAATAAAACAAATAAGCAAATAGCCAAATAAACATATATCAAATGCACAAATTACAATAAAACCATAAAATAGACTACCGAGACTATCCTTTTAAAATTAGGGGTATTACAAAAGCAGCAGCATAATGCTTGGTCACTTCTTAACTCACCAATACCTTGTTCTGTGGGGAACCGCATCAACAGGTGGTACATAGAAGTGACGGCTCTCATTGCATTTAAGGTCATTCTCCCCAAGATTATATTATACATAGACGGACAGTCCACTGCCGAAAAGTCTACCATCAAGGTTACTTGTTTCGGACTGGTCCCGGCTGTCAATGGTAGTGTGACTACACCTAAAGGGAAAACCTTTCTCCAGAAAAACCAATAAGGGGGGACTTCATTGGTCTTAACCTTTCCCTGCCAATACACATCCTATCAAATGCCTCAATAAATAACAAGTCGGCAAAACTACCATTGTCTATTAGTACACGATGGATTGTGTAGTTGGCCATGACTACTGTCACTACTAAAGGATCATCATGTGGCTGCTAGATTCCCTTAGCATCCTGTTCCGAAAAGGTAATGTCCTGGCCTTCCACTCTAGGAGACTTCACTGGGGGTTCATGAATCTCAACTTTATTAACTCCAGCCGACCTCCGGATTCTCGTGACATGGGTTTTTCACACCGAGCTTGATCTCCCCCACACGCAAATCTTCCTGATATCACCTTTATTTCTCCCAACGGGCGGCCAAGAGGGTTGTTCTCTTGGTTTTCACGGGTTGGTTGAGTTGCACCTTTTTCACGGTCAGTGGCATATCTGTGCAACTGCCCCTGTCGAATTAGGCTTTCTATCTGGTTCTTCAAGTCGAAGCAATCATCGGTATTATGCCCATGGTCTCTATGGAACCGGCAATACTTGTCCCTAGATCTCCTTGTTGGATCTGATTTTAACTTAGGGGGCTATTTTAAGAAGTGGTCATCTTGGATCTGCAGGAGGATCTGGCTAATCGAGCTGTTTAAGGGAGTGAAGTTAGTGTAGCTATCTTGCCCCCTGGGTACTCTATGGGGCCTATCGTTGGTAGGCTTTCTGAACTTGATGTCTCTCTCATCTTTGGAGCTAGCAGCTGGCCTTTTCTTGTCTTTTTTCTTATCGTCGACTCCTTTGCCTTTTCTTGAATTCATGGCATCTTCAGCATTCATATGTTTCTGGGCCTTTATTAATAACTCTGCCATGTTGTTTGGTGGATCTTTTAACAAGGAAAATAGGAACTTGGAGGATTGTAACCTTCCCATAAAGGCTGTAAGGGTAACCTTATCATCCACCTCATCGACCTGCAACATCTCCATATTAAAACACCTAATATAATCATGCAATGACTCCCCTTTGTCTTGCTTAATATTCAACAGATAAGTAGCTGGCTTTCAATGTCTCCTCCCTGCAATAAAATGCCTTATGAACTGCTTACTGAGTTCAACAAAGTCGTTGATAGATCCTGGATTCAATTTATTAACCCAAACCCGGGCTGACAATTTGAGTGTTGTAGGGAAAGCCCTGCACATGATCTCGTCCGGAACGGCTTGCAAGTTCATGAAGGATTTGAAAGTTTCTAAGTGGTCGAGGGGGTCGCGAGTTCCGTCGAAACTGTCAAGATGAGGCATCTTGAATTTTGTTGGTAATGGGAGGGCCATGATCTGAGGACTAAAAGGTAGATTCGTCTTTTGAACAAGGTCATCAACTGTGCCGGGACCCTTTCCTTTTTTCTTTTTTTTTTCCTAATTGGATACTCACACACACATGCCTCCACAGAGGCTCGAACCCCTGACCTCTCTTTGAGAAGTAGGGACTTGGTACCGCTAGGCCACTGGCCAATTGGTAGACCCTTTCCTTTTAAGGCTTGGGCCATTCCTTCCACCTTCGATTTGAGATCCTGGATTTGCTGATCGACGTAAGTTGTTTCAGTGCGTTCTTCGGCGTCATACATATCCAGGGAACGAGGCGTGAAAGTGTGTAGGTCTCTCTGTCGGCCTCCTGCTTGACTATATTCTAGCCTGAAGCTGTTATCATTACCTTCAGGGATAGCTAAGGGTTGCATGACTGCCGCATTTTGCTAGACCGACTGATTCATACCTTGAGTAAGGTTCTGAACCTGTTGCTCCAACGTGACAATCTTCCCATCATTTACTTGACGAGATACATGCTTGGACTGATCTTCTTTAGCGCGAGACTTACTAGCGCAAAGTCGATCAATCGTGCGATGAGGTTGATCGTCTTCATGACGTGATTGATGACCATCGTTGTGTCGTGATTGGTTTTCATCGTCATGTTGTTGATGACTATTGCATCACCATGTTGTGATTGATTTGTACCTTGATGCTGTTGATGGTGGTTGTCATCACCATGTGACTGATTTCCGTCATGTTATTGATGATGGCTTCTACTGTCTAAGCGCAAGGGGTCCTGGCTTCCTTTTCCGAGTTAGACTCCGGATCGTAATTGAACCATTATTTTTCTAGGAAACCAATATCAGTTTCCCACAGACAGCGCCAACTGATGATGTAAGATTCTATCACGACTCAGAACAATGTCGTAACCTGCAGAGAAGGGAAAAAGTTATCGGAAAGGCACCGGTGCGGTACCGGCCTAAGAGTCTTCGACGGTCAAGTTAGTACAGGACCAAGAAGATGAATGGACTTTGTTAGGAATATTTGGCGTACCTTTTGAATTGGCTGACTACCCTTTTTATAGGGTAGGTTGTAGTATTTAACAAGGGAATTAATTTCTCCTTTCTTGTTCAATACGGATCGGAGAATTACTCTTTATCCATATCGCTTTATTGATTGTAGCTTATCCAACTCCCTGACTCCTGTATCTATTAGAGTCCATGTTAAATTGTAGAGTCCATATCATTAGTTTTCAAAATACAAAGATGTATTACGTTATTCAATGAAAATGTTACAAAACAAATATTTTAGTTCTTATATTGGTCTACTATTTATGTTTGTAGTTTCTTGATTTAAACAATATATATTTGTTTTAGTTGGATTTTTTTTTTTTTTTTACACTACGCCCCTAAATTACTTGGCTCCCCACTATAAAATAGTCTCAAATTAAGTCTTTTAACTTCTATATTATTGTAGAGATAATCTTTTAGAATATTATAGAACCAAATTTTGAAATTCCCAGCATGATGATACTTGTAATTAGATTATAAATATAACTTGGGAATTCATTTGATGGTTGTGTTGTTCGTTTTCTATGTCACATCAAACACAAATATGTACATTTGCTTATCATCACATTCTCTTAAATTTCTAATACATGCACTAGTAGATGAGGCAATTACATGCATATAAATTTAATGTTAACAGTAACGTGTTTAAGTAATTACAATCCTCAAACTTATCTACAGTGCAATCATACACTTGGTTGCATTCATGGACTACGCATGTTATCCACATTCGACCCCAAAACTAGCTACGCATGTCACCCACCTTTTGCACGCAAATTTTCAAATATAAAAGAGGTGATAATTTTCTACTTAGTTGTCCTCTTTTGGATCCAGTGAAATTTTCGATTAATTTTCAATTACTTAAGTCCCAATTTTGCAAATTCACACAAAAAAAATTGCTTGGTGTGGTCAGAATATGTAAATTGTCTACAATCCAAAGCACACTATCCCTTCTGCACCGTCTCAAGAAAGAGTAGAAGCACCAAGATTATCAGTTCTATCACTTGTAACATTCATGTTTCTTTCACAAGGGCCACTCTAGGTCCATGCCTACCACCGTAACTGACAATTTTTCTCTTAGAAGTAGCGCCAAAAGATTTTTTTTTTTTTCTTTTAACATATTCCCTTAGAGTACTCAGGGTGATGAACCCAACACTGTATTTCCAATCCTCTCTTATTGTCTCACCCACCCCCAACCCCACCACATACCATACATTTAACTTGTCACTGTGATTCTCATCCCAACCATCAAGCTCATCCCCTAGCAATATGTCTATTCTATGTGATCCTAACCATCAAGCTCATCCCTTAGCAATATGTCTATTCTATGTGATCCAACATGTTTAGTACAAACCCCAGTGGGAGCTCACCCCTCAACAGTATGTCTATTCTATGTGATCTAATGTTCATTCACCCTTGGAGTATTGTGACATCACTCCACTGTTTGGGATTTTAGTGTTCAAACCCTTGGGAGTACATCTTCACCACTAGATCAAAGTGACCCACTACATCAATTTGTACCTTCTTTTATTGAGAAATGGAACAATTTTTTTTTTTTTTTTTTAAAAGGTACTGCTCTGCTGAAAATATTGGTGCCCTCTGCGTACATCTGAACTGAAATTGCACCTCGTTTTGCCAACAGCAACAAAATTTACCTTCCTCTTTTTTCTTCAGGGTGGTTGTTGGCATTAAACAATAAGCCCATAAATTTAAGCAAGCGCACTAAATCCCAATGTCACTTTTGCTTTGAAGATTCATTTTCTGACAACACTCTTCAGCAAAAGTTGAATATGCACAGAATTCTTAGGTTTATGTTGAAGTTCTGCCCAACAGCAACATGGTTTCAAAAACAGCTCAACACAAATGCATTACTTCCAGCCCATAAAAAAATTAAAATGGTCACCACCTAAACTAATGTGGGATAACACTACTTTTAACCAGAAATGTTCATTTATTCGTCGAATCAATCGAACTTTGTCATCTCATTTAACTATAAAACGAAAAAAAAGAGACATAGATACGTGCACAAAGGCTCAAACTATCCAGATTAATAACCAGACACCAGCATATAACATATCATCCTAAGTCCTAACAGCAAGCAAACCTTCAAAATACTCCTGTTGGAATATAACTGCAACTGCAAATCACAAGTTCTTAAAAGCGGACTCCTGCGTCTGTGGGGTCAGTCTCGCCAACAAAGCCTTGTTATGACAGTGCTCAGCATCCACAAAATAGAAGTTCCCGTTGGCCTTAAACGTCACGAAAGGCCTGTTGGTCTCTGCTGGCCTGATGTCCGCAAACTTAATAGTCTTTGGAAGATATGTTGCCAGCCATGACATCATCTCCACCTCAAAGCTGTCAGAACCGGGCTGCCATCTGAGCTTGTGAATGTAAGGGCTCACAAACCAGTGAAGGGCAGCAGTCGTAGAAGCACTGAGGAATATAACTGTGGATGCCACTGCACCCTTAAGGATCACATTCGAGTTAGTAGAAGTCATGAAAGTTATAACAGGGCCTAAAGACACGGAGAGGCAGCAGGTGGAAAGAGAGAGCATCTTCACTTTCTTAATAGTAGAAGAGATTGGACCATAATAAGTAACTCCATTGTCTTTTTCTTTGTCCCCCGCCTCACCGCCTCTACGAGGTCCAATGCTGATCTTGCTGTCATCTTCTGAAGCAGTGGATTGAGATGACCATCTTTTCTGGACAGCAGCAAGCTGTATGGCAGAGTTGAGGTTAGTTTTGGCACTTGGAGTGTGTTGCCATGTTCCAAATCTAAAGAGATGACAACCTGAAACAGAGAAAATTTCGTTAATGATAGTAATAATAATTGTAAAAGAAAGCACATGTTTAAATTGCAAGCTTCAAAGAGACGTCAGGATAAAGAATAAGGAAATCCTTTTTAGAAAAAATAAAGAGTTTGACTGGATTCTGATATTAAATACATTACATGTATATATGTGTGCATGTAACTGCATAGATGTAATCCAAATTTATGAAAAATGTGCTTCATTAGTTCCCGCTGGGTGTGCAAATGAAAAAAGAAGCCAAGTAAAAAGCTCATTGGTAGCCACATTAACTTAAGCAAGAGTACTATAGCAGTATAGCTTCGAGATCTTTATTGGATGAAATTTCCTTTCCCTTCCCCCTTCTCCATTCCTCTTCTTTAGGTAATGGTAGGAATTAAAACCATCAGTGTTCTTCAAATTGGAACCAACAGACTCTAGTTCAGTTGGCATCTAGAGGGCATAAAGGCAACGGGGGAGGTAAGTTTACTTGCCTCCAGCGTTTGTAAGAAATAAAGGCCAAAAGTTCATCTAGAAAACTGACATATTACTATATGAACATACACAATAACATAAATGATGTTATCCACCGTTTGTCTTCCTTATACTGGGTCCCTGAGAGAGATGGACTGGACACAAACCAAATCTCTATCATTATCATTATCTGCACAAGTTGTGATCCAATACTCGAACCTGCATTCTCTGTTTTGTAACATGAGCTTCTCGTTATACCAAGAAATGGCCCCTAAAGTACATAGTAAAATATAGTTAACATTCCAAATATTAAATCACGGATTTCATTAAATAACGAAATGCATTGGAGTAAAAGGGATAGTCACTTAGATAGCTAGTATCAAAGTTCTGACTTGAGTTCTTGGCAGCAGAAGCAACTCTTTCCCCCACCCCACCCAAAAAAAAAAAAAAAAACTGATGAAACTTTAGTCCAGCCGGATTTCAAACTAAGTTCTTAACTTCACCTATTAGAGGCAGACCATCAAACTTCAAACAAGTTAGGTGTTCTAGGCCTCTCCTAAATCCCATCCCCAAATCCTGGGGGCTCATGAAACAAGATGACATGATATGATAGCCACTGCATCATAATGCATGGTACTTCAGAATTCCTTGGAGTACAAATGGTTCTTGCATGAAGAAGGATTTATTGAGGTTCAACGAGAATGTGTCAATGAAACAGAAGAATAGAAGTCAGAAGGCAGCCCAAGAGGCATCCCCAAACAAAAATTGTACCATAGTGGTCCTTGGAGTTGCCACATTACTCCACTGCATATATTGAACATGGGACTCCAGACTTAAGTTTAAGTGCCATTCGGACTTGGGGGATATGGCTTTAAAATACCGATAATATTTTTCAAGTTCTGAGAGGAAACATTCTGGCTATGAAACATAATTGACCTACAACATGGCAGATCATGCACAAAAGATAATGGTTAGCATAAATCGTGAAGCTCCAGATATTTGTACTACAAGAAACTTCCTTCTCCTTTTGCAGGTGGCAGGGTGCACTTAGGAACTATAAGAAGTCATCATTTCTTCGAAAACAAGAAAGAATTATGGATCACAGCATTCTCCACTCCAGGGGTTGTCAAAGTAAGTGTGTCATAGCACAATCTCTATGTGCATGGATGCTGGATTTTATGGTCAACATGGAATGAGAAACAATGAATTTGACCAATTTAAAAGAAAGGTAGAAATAGGAAGGCAATTCAAGCAACATCAGCATAAGCTTATCCTCATTAATTGGACCTTGCATTCAATGTATCCATATGAATATTGGACGGGTTGGGTCAGTAATTGTGACTTGTTAGTGTAAGTTGGATTTTGAGTGAGAGGATATAAATAACTTTTGGCACGATCTGGAAAACTTTTGACATGCATGCCAAAACAAAAAATTTCAGAACGAGTTCATAATGTCCTCGAAATTCCTTTCTTATATCTTATTTTGTGGTGTAAAGCACAATTCTAAAATTTTGGTAGGGATGCTGTCGTCTATGACAGATTCCACTTTATTATGTAAGCTCATAGAAACAAGTAAAGACACACATGTGAATGTCAAAGTTCAAACTAGTACAAGAAGTCCAACAGGGTGATCAGAACAAATATCTTACAACGCAGGGTTTGATGCCTTCTGTCAGTGAAAAGAAGTTTATGTGCTTGTTTGTGTTACAAATTACAAATACTAAAAAATGAGTCTCCATCAACAAAGGTAAGTGTGTATTAGAAATCTTATATCAGAAATGGTTTTATTACCAAAGTATGCATAAATGAACAATTAATAAAGGCATAAGCCAATAACCAGATGATTTGATAAGATATTCTATATGTAATACAAGAAACATATACTATTAAATAAGGAAAAAAAAAAAAAGTGCGCTTCAAATCGTTTAATGGAGTCAGCTCTTAACAATTCAAGTTATGGAATTACAGTTATGCATGGTTGTGCAAATTGAAAAAAAGAATTATATATATATATATTCCAATTAAAGCTTTAAATTTTAAAAGAAAAAGTCTATCTGATTTTTTTAATTTTAGACAGATCTAAACAATTTATCTAATTTTAGACTAGTTATCCGAACAGGATCGGTCCATATAAGCAACATGCACCTATCAATTTAGTTAATTATTTTGAGTAGGTCATCTATTTTCTATTTTAGAATGAACCGCGACCTTATAAATTTTTTCCTTTACTTCCGTTTTAGATCACATTTGTGTAGCACCAGGCCAGAGACTTTGGGAATAGATACTCAGATAGTGGATGGAGTTGCGCTTTTCCCTTCGCTCCTATGCTATGAGGCGATTACAGCCATTTCAGGATTCTTCAAGATACATCAAAAGCAGAAACAGTATAGAGTCGATTTTTTTAGCATTAACCCCTTTCGTGGGTTCCATTGTCAAAATTAGTAGAATTTGTAGAATACGATTGTGAAGTGTAACCCTAAGGATAGTAGAGAAGAACCGAAAGGATCTAGAGCATTGTTTCTAGAAACGAACACCATTTTACTAAAGCAAATCCCAAGAGGAGAGATTGTGCGTATAAATTACTGAAACCTTCCTTTCATTTACTTCATAAACCAAATCGGAAGCAGTGCAGGTGGGTATCACCCTTCACTGGGCCTATGTATAGTCAGTGGCAACAATGGCTTCATCGCAATATTGCCATTCCTAAACAAGATAACAACTTGCTGAACATAGAAGGCCGCCTTAGAACTAAAACTCTCATCATTCAAAAACTACAAGCTTACCATATCATGATCCAATGACCACTGAATTGAGGTTTCAACCATATGACGACACACGAGAATACAAGAGTATAACCCAACAGCTGTGGGCTCAATCTTCGCTGCCTAATTGAAGTTAATAAGCTAAAATATGTGTTATATACTTTCAATTTAAGCATTGCACACCCATTTGGTCATTACTGAAACCTTCCTCTGATCAACATCATAAACCAATCGGAAGCAGTCCAGTTTGCGTATTACCCTTTACTGGGCTTATGTATAGCAGGCAACAAATGCTACATCGCAATATTGCTATTCCTAAACAAGACACCAACTTACTGGACACAAAACGACACCTTAGAACTAAAATTTTTAATTTTTTATCATTCCAAAGCCACAAGCTTACCATATGTTGATCCAACGACCACTGAATTAAGGTTTCAACCATAAGACAAAACAAGAGAATAGGAGAGCAGAACCCAACAGCTGCGGGCTCAATCATCACTGCCTATTTGAAGTGAATACTTGCAATTAAGCTTTGCACAAAATGGTATACAAGCTTACAATATCTTCATCCAATGACCACTGAATTGATGTTTCACCCATTGGACAAAACAAAAGAAACGAGCAGAACCCAACAGCTCCCGGCGCAATCTTAGCTGCCCATCTGATGTGAATATCTATAGTAGGTGTTATATACTTCCAATTAAGCTTTGAACACCCATTTCTTACTAATTACTTCGTTTAAAAAATAAAAGAGAATTTTTTAAGACACTAATTTGTGTTGATTGAACAAATTTTTAGTGCCGAAACAAATAGTCATTTGAACCTAGCTCACCTGAACTTTTTTCAGTAAACGATCCACACAAATAAAACAAAAAATAAAAGCAACAACAAGTGCAAGCTCAAAGCAAAACTAACTAGGGTTTTCTCTGAGCAACAAGCAACCAATTGTACACCACAGGAAGCATGTCCAATTAGGAACATACGATCAGGCAAAACAGTGTTATGTGACCGATTAGGGTAAAAACTGCGTTTCAGATTTAAAAAATTCGAGTAGTGAAAGCAAAATCTTAGTTACCATGTAGATATATACGTACAGATGTAGATATATAGACAGAAACCAACCAGATTGAAGGTTTCTGGAAGTGAGATGACTGGTGCGTGATCGAGCCAAGTGAAGGAGAGCCGCTCTCGCCATTTCTGAAACTTTGTTCAAAGAGAATCTCTGATTCTGAGCTGAAAACAAAGTGAAATGTTGTTAGAGGGTTTTGGCCCCCCCTCTTCACCATGTAACTTGCGAGGGGTTTATAGTCCTTTGGTTTAGGTCAAGTTTTTAAAACAACATTCTGATAAATAATTTACCCAAAAAAAAAAAAAAAAAAAAAAAAAAATCCTTTGTGATAAATATTTGTCAAAAAGCTAATATATAAAAAAATAAAAATAAATAAAAAAATTTAGACCTTAAAACATTGGTGGCATTTGGAAATGATAAGAACGAGAATGGGAAAATTAATGCTACATTGTATTTTCTAAAAATAAAGAGAAAAAAATTATCAATTCTTTAGAGCACATTTGGAATTGTTTTTAACCATTTAAAAATGTTTTATGTTTATTTTTAAATGGTAGATATTTTAACTTAATAGATTTATCCCTTTTATCTTTTTATAAAAGATAATTTCATTCGGCTTTTTATTAAAACCATTATTATTAAATATAGTAAAACTCTATTAAATATAGTCACTAATCACTATTGCTTTTCTTTTTCTTTATTTCAAGTTTATAACCATTTGATTCACACACTTATTATTCACATGTCTCTCCAAATTCGAGGAAGAAAGATTGTATGATATGTCGTTGAGTTAGAAATCTTTTGTGATCATTTTCTTCTGACTCTATACACAAAACTTTCATATATATATATATATATAAATATTCTTTTTCTCTGCTCTATTTATCAAAAAGTGTAAGGGGTTATTCTTCATTTCATATTTTTCATAGTCTCTTTTTTTCGTTTCTATTTTCTGTCTCAATTTTATTTTTGGAATGTTTTTCGTGTTTATTGGATATTTTTTTCTGATCACCCGCCAAGCTTGTCTCCATCTAGACGGAGTTTACTTAAATAATACTCTGTTTTTTTTAATGTAGTATCTATAAATACTGCAACTCGGATTTGAACTGTAAGCTCGTGAAATGGATTATTTTAAATCTTTAATATACTTATTATTTTTTGTATATCAATAAATACTTCAAAACTCCTTAAAATTAAATATAAAAAATTCTCATGTGAGATTTGAACTTTACTTATTTATTTAATGAATTAATACGAACATATATTACAGTATTTAACAAGTGGAGCTCAAAATATTCAATTTTGGTATCAGTTATATTTATTTTTTGTAATTGTCATGTTGTTGGAATGGTTGGTTGCTCCATTTGTATAAGAGCCCATATTAAGTTTTGCATCCTCTACCTAACAACTAACCTCAAACATTCTTGTCATAGAAAATATATATATATATATATATATATATGTAATTTTATAAATGGGTAAATTGCAAATAAATAAAAAAAACCTACAAAAACCTCTATTGGTGTTATTTTTTTTTTTTTTTTACATTTTTCATATAAATATAATTTAAGACTATGACAAAGATATATATATATATATATATATATGAAAAATGTAAATAAATAAATAAATAAATAACACCAATAGAGGTTTTTGTAGGTTTTTTTTATTTATTTGCAATTTACCCATTAATAAAACTACAAAAGTAATCATATAAAAGTAAACATTTTTGTTATCGATTTGAAAAAGAGAATTAATATTTTTTTAAAATCCTGACAAACTTTAGAGAATTAATATTTTTGTTAAATCCTGACAAACTAAATGTAGGAAAGACTGGAACGTGAGCACACTAAACACACTATCACTAGGAAATTGGGTAATGTCCTTAAAAGAATTGAAATTTAAAACATCTCAAAATAATAGGCACTTATTTTATAGACATGGAGGATATTTTCATTTGGTGTTGGAAGTGAAGACAAAGCTCTATTTGAATGGTTTTCTCATGTGAGCCTTCCCTAGCTAGGCTCTTTCAATTAATTTTTCTCTTAGACTTTGTTTGGATCCAGTAATTTGAATGAATTCGAAAAGAAAAAGAAAAAAAAAAGACAGTAAAAATTGTGTTTAGATAATTTTTAGTAGAGAGAAAAGAAAGAATTGAGAGAGATTTGGAAAGATACCAAATTCCTCATGTGCTAACTTCCAAAAAAATGAAAAAAATTTGGAGAAAAATGATAATGAGTAAGTAATATTTTTATAATTTCAAAATTATCATCTTATAACATTTAAGTCTCATCTAATAACATATTATAAAAATATTAAGATAATAATTTAATTCTTATCTTTTTTTTATTTATCTCATTTACTTTTACCAAACAAAAATACTATTATTATTTATTTATTTTTTATAATTTATTTAAATATAAATAAAAATTATTCCTATTTTTTCCCTCATTTTTCATCCAATGAAAGTCTTAAATATCTTGATTTTCTACTTCTTCCAGTCGTCCAGTCCCTCTCCTATTATATTATTTTATTCAAATTTGCCAAAACTTTCTGACTCCCTCCCCCTATGTTCTACTCTTTCTAGAAGCTATCACATCCCTAAGGAAGCTCCGTCTCTCTCTCTTTCTCTTTCTATAATATATATATATATATTTATATATATCTTCGACTAGAAGCATTAGATATTAATTTTTAATTTAGATAAGGAAGAATCCTCTCCCTCTCTCAGCTGTATATATATACTTCCACTAGACAACCTCTCATCTCACACATTTCTCACCCATCTCTCTCCCCAACTCCAACTCACTACTCTCAAATACTGAAACAATGGAAGAAGACAAGAGCAACACCACTTTCCAACAATCTGAAGAAGAAGACGAAGACACTTTCTCTCTCCGCGACCTCCCAATCCACGATCACGGTGATGATGATCATCAAGACCAGACTACCACTCCACGAGCCTCCACAGATCAAGATCTATTCGAATTCCTCGGCGACCTATCCTCCCAAATCAACCACTCCGACAACGACGACAACAACAACATCGTCTTCTGCGGCAAAGTCATCCCTTACGACGAAGACCAACTCAACGAGTACCAGAAGCGAGACTATCTAAGCGTCCGATCCTCCTCGTTTCACAAATCCCACACTCATGATCACAGCTACGATCAATTGAGCAACGAATCGGACCGGTTCGTTCGCAAGAACCGTTCCAAATCGCTCCGGTTTCCGAGTTCGGAGGCGTTCCAGAACAGGTCGTCATCCGTTGCCAAGTGTGAGCCGTCGCCGATTCGGACGGTGAATATCACGGCGATCACGTCCATGTCGACCAAGTCTAAGTGTCGGATGTTTATGTTCGCACCGGTGAAGTTCAAGCCGGAGATGGAGATGAGTGCCATCAAGAAGAGGCAGAGCCGCCGCGCTCCGGCGCCGATGTTTCCGGCTGCGGTTGACGGCGGTGAGGTGGTGAGCGGTGGAAGGAAGAGTCATCATCATTGGGGGCTAGCGAGGCAGTTGAGGTCCGGGGCACACCTGGCAAACTTGTTGGCCAGGTCGTTTGGTTGCGTTTCGGCTTCAATGGTATAGAAACGGTGGCGTTGCGTGGGAAATTAGTCAAAAATGGTTGTTGTTGACTTGTTTTTTGGTCATGTATATAGCGCTTGCTTATGGTCTTGTATGCTTTATATTTTTGAACATCAAATTTGTATTATTTTATTGTTGTATTGTATAATTCACATATTTTGATATTTTTGGTCATGAAAGTAAACATGATAGACTTTTCCTTCTAAAAAAACAAATTAGCATTCTTTTTCAATCTCTTTCCTTTTATTAGTCTCTACTCGTTTTTGACTTTTGAGCTAACCAATCACCTAAAAGAAATGAAAATATATACATAAAAATAATAGACCGGGTTTGACAGAGGCGTTATTAGGTGGAGTTGGGTTGTTAACTTGTCACGTAACACTTCTTAATTTGTCCAATAGTCCGGACTTATTTGGATATTACCAAACCAGCCCCTTCTTCTCATTTTTTAAAATGAAACACCCTCCGAAAAAAACATTTGATACGACTATATTTCCTCCAGTTCCATCCCTACGTGAGTACTTCTCAAAGAGGGAGGTCAGAGATTCGAATTTCAGTGGAGACAATTTGTGTGAGTATCAACTAGAAAAAAAAAAGTCAGTTTGTGTGAGTACCGACTAAAAAAAAAGTCATTATACTCACCGACTAAAACCCTACTATCTTCATCAGTTCCACAAGTGAAGACCTGACTAGGGCCCGAAATTTCAAAGAATAATCAAAAATGAGATACAAACTCCCAATAAAATTTTAACGTCGGGCAATTTCAGGCACTTCTCCAGAAGAACTGAAGAAATTTACAGAAACGGTACGTGTGTCGGAAAGGATGGCTAGGTAACGGTCAAATGGATGAGGAGTGCATTGGAAACTGAATTTTCCCATCTCCCAAACTTTGAAAGATTATTTCTGTACTTCCATCAAATACAACAAATACAAAGCTATGGCAATATTACAGACACCTACCATTCTTTTGCCCAAAAAGACGGATTTAATTTCCTATCATTGCTTGCTTGCTGCATTGGAGTTGCAAAAACTATTATACAACACGGCAAAGGAATACATTTGCCGCTAAAAGGCCGCTGCTAAAAGAGGCCCATTCTAAACATTCTGCTACCTGCCTATGTCCCCCTTACCCCTCCAAGAATCCTCCTCACTGATGATGCCCCCCGCTTGCCCACTGTACTGTTCAGCTTTAGCATAGTGCATTTTGATGGCTGCCACAGGATCCGAAACACCGGTGCATGCTCCTCCAACAAGAATCCCTCCTCTACCTACAACATTGATTCCAACCATCCCCCTCGCTTGCTGTTGTATACTTGAAACTGCATCAAAACCATTTCGTCTTTGCATCTCGGAGAATAACAAGTCCTGCCGCTGCTTCATATCCACTGTGAATGGCTGCCCTTTGGTACCATCTCGGTTCCTGTACGTTTGATAATCCGTCACTCCATTGCTACCGATCTCCCTTCTTGGAAAAACTGAGACACCATTCACATTGCATTCAGTACTCTTTACAACAGAATGCAATGGCTGCTCCATTTTTGCTGAGGTTGTTGGGTAATTACCAAATGCAGCAGGATATTTTGCCAGCAGGATAGCGGAGTCAGGCAACGAAGAAAATCCTGTTTGTATTCTATTCCCATCCCAAAAACCGTAACTCCTCATGGGAAGATTCTCAAGGCCCAAATAATTATTACGATCAAATCTTGTTGGAACAAAGTTTGCATCTAAGCTATGAGTACCAGAAAATTTTGGGTTAGAAGACTTGCTGCTTAACTTAGGATGTTGATTCCCCTTGTCTTCATTCTCATGGGTACTAGGATTCGGCTTCAGCTGAGATGAGGGATGAGTTAGAATCTGACCAAAAAGTTTCACGTCACCATTCCTGCAAGGTTTCTCCACATCTGATAAACTCTGTGAGATGGGCCTTGACTGATCCCTTTTTTGTTCTTGAGATGGAAGCTCAGCCACCAAACTGTGAGCTTTTGAATTGTTACACTTCCGAAGATAGTAATCCTGTGATAAATACTGATCAGAGTGGAAATTCTTTGGAAGGCTTTGAAATGAAGCTGGTTTTTTGGAACTAATATCCCCATTCATCTCTTTTTTCACTGACACCTGCAACGGATAATCCCTGACAATCTGGGACGATTCAACAGGCTCTGAAAAAGAATCTTCAGACAGATGCTGGGGATGGGAATAATCATTCGCACTAGTAGATATTTGACACTGCTCATCTTTGATCTTTTGAGGATCAACAGTTGTTAATGGATCTTGGTGGTTAAGAGTAATCTCATATCGACTTACAGCAGAATCTTGGGGTGTAGAATTCAGAGTCACAAGACAACTATCCGGCTGCAATGAGATGACATGAGCACTATGTATGGAATCCAACTCCAGGGCAATCTCCGGCTTGTGTTTGGGACTAACAGCAAATCCCGAAGAAGAATTAATATTCGCAGCAAGATGAGAAGAAGTGTTCTCACTTGTACCTGAATCTTGAAAGGTGCAATCTAAGGCATTTACACCTCTTGCATTGGCATCACTGTTATCACCTTGCATTGGCATTACTTGCTTTCCTTCTGTTTCTGTTCCAAGAGGCACGGCAGATACCACCTCCACAAGAGCTTCACTCTTAATTTCGGCACATATGGACAGGCAGTGATCATTTCCCTCTTCAACAGATACTGATGGATTCAAACGATTGCCCTCCTGTCCAGCATCCTTATCAGAGGATGAAATTGTGATTCCATGGGCCTGCACTGAAACATGCTTGCCATCAGCACCAGTCTCTACATTGCTGTCTCCATCAAAATCTAGCTGCAGCTTACCCTCTAACTGACAGTCATCAACAACTGCATTCACAGGACCTTTACAATCCAGTTCTCCTCTCACATAATCCTCTAAAATTTTCATATCAGTCTGAAAATTCAAGGTTGCCACAGGATCAGATTCATGGTTCATGTTCAAGTCAGGCTTCATGTCCTCATCCAACTTAAATCCTGATTTGTCACCGCAGATAACTGTACCAGTCTCCACAACACAAGCATCTTCAGCATCACTCCCACCCCCATTAGTATCTTCGCTCACAGGCATACCTTCATTGCCAGGCCTAGGACGAACCATATCCAATCCAAGGCATTTCCGTGCCTTACTAAAAAATATCTTGCATTGATCCCTAGACCTTGTTCTGACACACCGTGAGATCCTTGTGAAATCTTTACCGTAGGATGACACAGCCTGTACAAAGATAGACTTCTCCTGGTCTGTCCAAGCAGTAGAATCCATCTCCCCGCAACTATCATCCGAGCAAGTCTCGTCATCAATATTCTGTGTAACCTCGGCTGTCAATGGTCGTCTCATCAAAGAACCAACCTTTTGGCACTTCCACTCCTGATAGCCCTCTCCAGGGTCAAAAGAACTTGTGATGCAAGAGCTCATTGCTTCTGATGACAAGGAACCGCAGATACCAGCCAGCACATCAGCAGCCACAGTTTCCCTTTCATTACCAAAGATACTGAGACTACTTGACCTATCTAAGATGCCATTATCACCCCTAGGTGTTTTGTAATCACCAAACGCCCACCTTGCTGTACCTTTTAGCTGATTTTCCATACCATCATCAGCATTAGCTGCAACTGCTGAAGCCTCACCCAACATATCAAGGGATGCAGCATTCATCTCACGATTCCATCTTTTCCCAGATGTGACCAGGTAACCATTAGTAGGATAGGACTTTCCTTTCTTTTCAAAATCCGGCTTCTTCTTTGTCTTCTCAAAACAATCTGACTTGTGGTTTTTGTAGTAAAACTCAACACAATCAGCAGTTGTCTTGTGATCTAGAAAAGAAGCAATTTTCTTGAATTCTTTCCCAAAAGTTGAAAGCTTATCCATAAAAACTTCCTTCTCTTCTGGTGTCCAAGGGTTGATCCTAGCCCTTTCCTTCTCAACAGCAGAGGGATCTTCCACTAAACCATTATTTGAAATGAACCTCGAAATCTTCTCTTTCTTGTCCAAGATCAAAGCTGGCATCTTCAGTGAATTCCTGAAAAGTTTGACCTGGGAATCTGAAAGTAACTTGTTCGTAAAATTAACTATCTCTGTGGTGGGGACCAGACTCAAATTCCCAGCTGCAAAGATAATTTAAAAGAAAAAAGAAAAAAAGAAGAAGATGAAATTTCAAATGAATACAACACAGAGAAGTTCAATTCTATATGTCATATTTCATCAGCATCCTAAGCTTAAGATTGAAGGGAAAGCCTTTTTTTTAGAGTCAGAGGGTTGTAAATGCATAGATAAAAATGAATAGAAATTCAAATCACACTGATTAATACAGTAACAAATGTAATAAAAAATGAATGATAAACATGCAAAGTTTCCAAACAGAAAACAAGTAAAATACACTGGCATCTTACAAATAGAAGTAGCCAAATCTACAAAGCCAAACATGCCATGTATCAAAGAACATTTTCTCAGCTAACCCAATGAACTTGGGATACAAGCAGCAGTTGAAAGCAGAATGACAAGCATTATAGTTAAAAACCAGCAACAAAATTACCATTTTATTCATCTTTTCTAATCTCCAAAAAACTTGAGCATAATTTTTTTTAACATGTTTACTTCACTTGCTCAACATATTAAGCTTTGGAAGTGACAGCAAACGTACAAGCCTTCCAATTCTGAAACCATTATATCTTAAATCTCAATCAGTCAAAAAAACTCAAACAAATGCCAGCACTGCTGTTCTAAGAAAGCAAAAGCCTCACACAAGATAATGAACCAGTTGATCCAACTTCAGTGCAAATAGCTATGCTAATTGCAACAGAATGAATCTGTTGTAAATATCGAAATTCATCACCAAGAATTTTGAGTAAAATAAAATTCGATCCTAGAAAGAATTATTTGTTGAGCCAAAGTTGGAACATAGCATGATCATGAGCTCCATTAGAATTGTTGAAATTTTACAGGCATGAAGTCATTACAAAAGAATCAAGATGTCAATGAATTCATTGCATGATGAAACATCAGCCAGGCATGATGTGATTTCTAAAGAATTATGATTTCTAAAAAATTATGAGATGTGGTAGTAGTAATAAACCCCGCACACAATTTATGATTTCCAGCCAATGAAAGGGCAATTTCAACAGTAATGAACTCAAACTGCCATAATGAAGACCAAAATTGTCTAATAACCAGCTCAGAATATGGCATTCTTAACCACATGAATTGGCATTTCATTCTGGATTACAAGCTGTATGTGTGTGTGTGTTTGCCAACAAAATTCAGAGCACGGGCACAAGCTGTGCGCTTCTGCATGTAACAAAAAGCATTCATAATTAGAATTGGTTTCCTTCACATAAATATTAAGGGTCGATATCATGGACCTGAAACTAGAAACTGTAGACAAAGCCTTAATAATCCACTTTCCAATCAGAAAGAACTGGACTGCAATGCAATTGACCAATCTGGAAAATATGATTTAACCACCAATGCCAACAAGAAATACAGTGTTGACATTTTCATCATCAAAATAAGCAGAGCAGTTGCAGAAAGAAAAAAGGGAAAAGAAAAACACTACTAACATAAAGAGCAAAGAGAGGACATTTACTTACCAGGAGATGAAAACCGAGAACGAAAAGAGGACCGGTTCTTCTGATGGCCACTATGTGCTGTACGTGCTTCAAACTTTTTCTGAGGTTTTGCACGATATTTCCTCGTAGAAAGCAGGCGCATATCTTCTTTCCAGAGATGCTGGAATGCCCTGAATTTGAGGGTGATGACCCTCTCCTTAAATTTTAAAAAGCGCTTCCTTGTGACAAACTTTTCCTTAACCAATGAGTCGTTCTGACAGCAAGAGATACTGGTAGCTGTTGGAATATCAATACATTGATTGGATGGCAATAGCTTATTAAATACATTGGAAGCTCTGTTTGAGGAATCTTTGTTGGAAGCCAATATTAAATCAGATAATCTGCTAGCCTCCCTATAGCAATTTAAACTCTCGTCAGTATAAAGAGGGACACAACTTTTGCTAGGTATAAGACGACTACCATCCACAGAAGCAGATGCACCTTCCTTCTTTTGCTCATTGGAACCATACACTAAGTATTTCATTTCCAAGCTTTTAAATCTACTTTGCTCCAAAACACCAGAACATTCACCACGTTTTCCCATATTAGATATGGAGGCAGCCTTCACTGAAGAAGTAGGTTCAATAAATTTAGACGTAGCAGTGCCTGGACTATCAACATCCTCATCTTTAACTTCAGCATTTTCTTCTTCCAATACACCAACTGCCTTCTCCACAATCATATCTCCAGAAGAAACAAGCTGCAAGGGAGCAGGTCTAGGAATTGACATAGAGGCCGCAACTAATTGTTCACAAGGTTTTGCTTGACCTTCTATAGGCAAAGAACTTGATGATGCCGGACAAGGACGATTATTTCCAGAATCAGAAATCAAAGATTTCAATTCATTTTCAAGCAAATCAATTTCAGATTCAGTCGTCTCCAGTACCTTTGAAATGTCACCTTTCAGCACTAGCAACTTGTTCATTGCAGTGGATCTCACAAAACTAGAATCTACCAAGTTCACATCATCAGACTGTAGCAATTCGCTAAGCGAAGTGCTCAAATTAATAATTGGAGTGAGCTCCACATTCTCTAGATTAAAAGCTAATCCATCAAGATGGCTCCAAGAAACAAGACTCGGAGAATCAATTAAGTTACTAGTATCATTATCGTTACTCGCTACCTTGACAAATGGCTTCTCCTCAATACCTGTTACAAGATGGCAAAAATCAGATGAACTGCTTAAATAATAAGTGGACCATTTGGGGAAGAAACACAGTACAATGTCATAATCTCTGGTGGTGTACACAGCTAAATTTTGAAAAAAGGTGACATGCTTAACTGTTTGCATCTAATTTAAAACAAGGCTAGATATGTCTGTACAAACACCGTCAGTGATCATATATTCCAAACTAATTACCATACAGTGTTTGATGATCAGGTTCCTTTCTCTGGGTAAAAGGTTCCAAACAGAGAATTCATAACAGATGTTCATTCAAACTAAAGAAGAGGAAGGCCTCACCTTACAATGATGGCCTAAGAAAATAATAGCAACATTGCGCAATAAATTAGATGAAAATTTGCTAAACAAGGAAAAACAAAATTAATGTGGAACACAGAACAGTAAAGCATAACCATGTCACTGAGTTTTAAAAATGCTTATTTTCAAGAAGTTTAACAGGCCACCCCACCCCCCAAGGAAAAAAATAAAAATAAAAATAAAATATTCTTAACAGAGAATTTTTTGGGACTAACATTTCACCTCCACATGGCTTTAAATAATACTACAGTCTTAAAGTGTTTATTTTAAATTATAGTGGAAATTAAAAGTCACCACTAAATATTAACATGATGATATCATTTTATGTAACACATTATTCTTTAAGAAACTATTTAGAATAAGATGTCCATATCAAATGCTTAAAATGCATCACACTTGTCAAATAAACACTGGCAATTATCAATCTGGTCAACTGAATCTCAATCATTTGATCTATTTTTACCCCTACCAAACATTTCATTTGTACATATATATATATATATATATATTTATAAGTTTCATTTGTACAATTTCCCCTTTTTTCTATTGAACATACACAAATTCCGACACCATAAAAGTAAAGTTAAATTGTACTATAAGGCTCAGTTACACACGAATTATCCACTTTACCAAGTTCATCAAACAACAGTATACTTGCAAAGAGGAAAAAAATATGAAACGACTTAACGTAAATGGATCAATAGAAAATTCAAATGTTTTAATTCAGGAGTTGGGGGAGAGGGAAATAGAAAGGGAGGTTTTATGATGGAAAAATGGTGTCCAAAGCATAGTGGATGAGGCGCTAATAAAGGGTGGATTGCATCATTTTGAATTGTCGATCTCTGTATAGTGATATTGAATCCAGATCTTGGCAGAACTTAAATCTTTCTTCCCCGCCAAAAGTAGAATTTGAATGTATTTTACTGTATTGGAGTTAAAAATTTACAGCATTCTACGTGTTATTTATTCACAATGATGAGTTTAGATCCTTGTAATAGGGCTTTATATATTAGATAATCAATCAATTTCCCTAGATGCAGAAGGGAGAAGCTAATTTTTTTTTAAATTCTAATTGTACTTTCAACCCAACCAAATTATAACAATTAAATCACCATGCAACTGAACAATTAGTAACTACTAAAGACTTATTAAACAATCAATTCTACAGTTGGCTTGTCAAAAATTCTTGCATTAATAAAGTTATCTACATTGTAGCACTATAAAAATTCAATGATGATAAAATTTTAACAAAACTGATTATATGTTTCAATATATTGTAAGAATTTTCCAAATGTTGCTTAAAATTTGATCAACATAAAAATTTAAATTGAACTCTATATATTACCTGGTGAGGAACTGCAACCAACTGAGGAGGGAGTAGCAGGGGATGCACAGTCTGAGAAACCTGTAATTCCAGGGCTTTTATCAGCCAAGTTTGAGATATGAGAATGAATGGATTCTGTGCCACCAAGGACAGCTGTTCCATTTTTGGTTGCACTATCATAAACGCCTCCAACTTTCTTCTTCTCATACTTTGCCAGCCCCTCACCCCATCCAAGGCGTGGCTTTTTCCTGGAGTTCGTCTCTTCGGACGGAGGAGCAGATGTCACGCATGCAACAGCATCCCCTGAAGGGGACTGCAACGGGGTCACATTCCTGGGCTGTACCTCAGTCTTTGATTCACTGACATCCACTCCAATGCTTTTTGAGCTACTTGAATGGCTGAAACCGGAACCCCGCGAGGACAAGCTTCCAGAACGGGTCCATTTAAGAGGCTTCCAATCAATCGAGCCCAGCGAATTCTCTCTATCAGATCTCTGGCCTGTGCCCAAGCCATTGACACCATCGATCTTATCATTCTGGTCTTTGATTTGATCCCATGTGTTTATAAAGTCAGAATGAGGATGCGAGTTGTATGTTAGCATATCGTTGACTGACCTCTGATCACTCAAGTCGTGTGGCCTGCCCGGACCATTAGGTGACGCACCGGTTTCCCTAGAGTGACCTCTCCAGTCCTTCTGGCTAAAGGATGGAGGCTCTCTGCTGTTCCGGCTGTACTTTCCATCACCGCGTGACCCAGATGGCCGGCAGCTCTCATCATCCGGAATTCTCTCCATCGACCGAGATTGAGTGAACCCATGATTAATTTCTTCAGAGAACAGGTGCCAACCACCCTGCTTACCATGACCTTCAGCAGAAAACATTCAAAGAGAAAAATAGAACAAAATAATCACAAAAAATTCACCTCAAGCAAAGAATATGAGCCCCAAAAATCAAAAGGGTAAAATAGCTACCCCTTAAATACTGGTCCCAAATCTCAAAGAACCGATTTTTCAAGCACTAAAACATCAGATCTAAACAATAATCATGCACAAACCAATAATGAAAAATATCAACACCAATAGCCAATCAGATCCGTTCCCTTCAGTATAGGGAAATCAAAGAAAAAATAATATATAGCTAAGTAAAAATTTGGTTCCTTTACAACCTATGTTGTTTGTTTTACCTAAAAACGAAAATTGCACAAAAGGCATGGTGAATGAAAATCCAGGATTTGGGAGAAGCAAGCAAACAAATGTTCAAACTACAGGAATATCTAAACTCACCTTGAGTTCTGCTGCGGAACTCGGCAGATCCACCGCGGATGAAATCCCGCGCCGACGACGATGCGTGGTGAGAAGTCTCCCTCCATCTCGACGCAGGCCCTAGGGAGTCCGACGACCTCTCGTGCTTCCTCTCCTTGAAGAAGTCCTTCCGATCCCAAGGCAATGGCTCCGGCGGCATCAAAATCCACCACTCTATAGCATGAGGCGCAACACCACACACAAAATTCACCGATCAACAGCACGAAGGACACACCGCCGCGATCTAGGGTTTCGAATCCCACAACGACGAACAAAAAGCCAATTGAACAGAGCTGGAAATGGAGATATCACGCATGGAAGATAAATTATTAATCAGAGAAGATGGGGCAGTACTTTTGTGTGCCCTAGGAAAACAGGGTTTGAAGAAGATGAAGAACAAGTGCCGTCCGCCTGGTTCTATTTTCCCTTGGAGTTTTCTCTCTCCAGACTTCTGTGTATTCTGTGTGGAAAATCTATGAATGTAGAGCGAGAAAGTGAGAACGGGAGACGATAAGGGGGAGGGATAGCCTAGAGACTTGAAGAGAGAGAGAGAGAGGAATTGTTATCTATCAACGGCTCTTCTAAACTAGAATTTATTCTTCTTTCGCGTCCGCAATCTATTCAATGCTATTAATGCCATGTTTGGTTAGGGAGAGGAAATGGGGAGAGGATTTCTTATCCCTTGTTTGGTAAGACGGAAAAGTTCAATGAAAAAAAAAGAAAGATTAGGATAGTCCAAAAATGAGTGATGAGTAAGGAGGGGCAGAATTTTACGGTTGTAACCTTGATATGAACGTTTTGGTTAATATTGAAGGGTATGGTCAAATTAGGTCTGCTTTGTTTGTAATTTTGAAAATAATTTTTAAAAAAATAAAAAATTATTCTCAAAAAATAATCTTTTATAGTTGTCTAAAAATAAATAATTTTATAACTGAGTTCTCAGAAAACAGAATCAAATAAGTTTTTTTGTACAATTTTTTTTTCTGAGAACAGAAAACTACTTCTATAATTACAAACCAAACACTTTTTGTTTCATTTTCATTTATGTTCAATGAAATAATTAAACAGAAAATTGTTCCATCTCTCTTCAACATTATTTTTTTAATCCTCTGATTTAAATTCTAATTTTTGTATCAAATTATCATAATTCTTAAATTGATTTCATATAAATGAAATCGGTCCCGCGGTTATTTTTATTTTTTTTTCATTCTTTTATTTTACAAGCATCTTGTTTTTAAAAATCATTTTCAATAATTTTATCTTTCATTTTGAAGTGTTATCTTATATTTTACCCATGCCTGAATTTTTTGTAACAAATAAAGTATAAATAAGATTGAACATTTTCACTTTTAGTTTTCACAGGGGTGACTATTTTTGTCTTTAAATATTTTGGATTATTTCATCTATTTCCGACTGTTTCAAGCGTCTTGGAGGGAAGTTTCCTTTTATAGATTCTTCAACAACAGTGAAAGCGTGACCTCTTAATTAATATTGGGATACTTTAGCTGATGTAGTGGTGGGGGTACAAAAATCTCCTCTTTTTTCTTTCTATAATTTCATATAAGCTCAGTGAACATGAATACTATTCTCTATATATATATATATATATTTATTTATTTATACCACTGTATAAATATGTGTAATTAAATTTTTCTTTCTAAACTACACCATTTGATAACTGTATTTTAAAAAAAATTAAATCACATAAGTATCCTTTAAAATTGGTTTGGTACGCATAAACGAAATAAAATAGATTGAAATGCTCATTTCAATATTTCTTTGTTATGAATTTTAAAGTCGAAATGGCCATTCAATGCAATGAATGAAAATCCATTCCACATAAAATGGTCATTCCATTTATAGTAAAACTTTAAAATAAAAAATAAATCTAAAACATCATCACAGCCATGTGCCTTCCATCGCTGATACCACCACCACCACTTCCTTCTGTCACTAGCACCGCCACGATCTTCTACCAACACCACTTCTTTCCACCACTACCACTGCCACTGTCTTCTACTAGTGCCACTGCTTTCCGCCACCGCCTTCCACCACTACCACTGCCTTTCGCCACCACCTTTCACCGTCGTTGTAATGTTTCAAATTTTCGTCATTTTTCATTTTCTAAAAATTTTTGTTTTTGCAAGGACATTTTCGTCTTTTCTCGTTTTACGTGCCGGACACCGTGGAGTATACCGGGTGTGTCCGAGAGCTGGTTAAGGTATTTTATGGAGTTCAGGACTCTTTGAAATGCAATGGTTGCCATTTCGGCATTTTTCTGTTTTTCGGGCCGGGAGGTCCTAGGTGGAACCCGCTACCGAGGCCGCTGTGCACGGGAGTTGTGTCACGGGTTCATTACATTTCATGCAATATTATTTTGTTGTGCATAATTGCATTATTGGAAGTGAAAAAGTGTGTGATGGTAGTTTAATTGGATTATATATATATATAAATGATTTTTTTTTAAAAAAAAAAGGAGGAGATTTTTATGTTTGTGGGGCCCATCCCATTTTAACACATTTTAGTAGCCGATAGGCCATGCATGGCCTCACTTCCCTCTCTCTCCGGTAAGCTTTATCTCTCTCTCTTTCTCTTTCTCATTTTTCTTTTTCTTTTCTTCACAACTTTAAATTTCATTTACTTTCTCATCTTTTGGAATTTTTGGGTGTCGTTTGCGGCAAATCGAAGAGCACATCAAGATCTACACATTGATATAAGCAATTTCTCATTTGGCCAACCCTAGGAATTTCAAAATTTTGGCTCAATTTGGAGGTTTTTCACCACTTTAAGGTAGGGGTTTCTAATTCCCACTTTCTTGTACTTTTGTGAATTTTTCTACCATAATTTTTGTCAAGCATACTTAATTTGAGTTGATTGCCTCTTAAATGACTTAATTGTATATACGAAGCATATACTATGTGTATTGGCTGGTTTGTATGAAAAGAATGCCTAATTGTAAATTTTCTATGCCTATTGTGCTCGTTAACTTGCTAGAACTTGTTAGATGGAAGCATGTTTATTTATGTAGTATGAAAAATCCCATATTGTCATAGCATTGAAAGTATGAGACACACATGCATATCATTGGGCATGAATGAAGGGAAATGATTTGAAATGAAAGAAAAATTGATTTTTAAGGAAAGTTTTGATAAAATGGTTTTAAGAAAACCCAGACACTGCGGAGGTACCAAAGGTCCGTGGAGTTAATGTAATTTAGAGGGAATTAGGGAAATTATCCTAGCGTGGTTGAACTATCTGGGCTCCAAATGACACCGCGGAGGTACGAAGGGTCAGGGACAGTAGCCAATATTTCTCTCGTGTTGCCGCGAAGTCACCAATGGACGGGTTATATTAACAATTTGGAAATGATGACAGAAATGGTTTTAAAAAATGGGGAGCGACATGGCATGACATTGCGTTTCATTTCACGACATTTGTATTCATGATTTGGATTTGTTGGTTTGCTACGTGGTTATATTCTTCTCGACCTAGCATGTTCCCGATTATTCTATTTTCCCTTCATTGTTTAGATTCACGGGATCACAAGAAGTGTGTCTTAGGCACCACCTACTGAGTAATTTTGCTCACCCCTTATTATTATCATTTTTCAGGATATGGAAAAGAAGTGGCAGACGACAATCCACCACAGCTTTAGCTTGGAGTGAAAGAATGTTTCTTTTGCTATCTTTTGTATTTAGGCCTCATTTTGTAAAGTGTTGACTCAAAATGTATTATTTCGCAATATGTGAAGTATTTAAATTCATTTTGTATGTGGCCAATAGGGGAATGTAATTAAGTTTAATTACACTAAATCTTTTAATGTATTTTATGTAACGTGTTGTAAATCAATGTTAACAATGTTATTCTTGTTATTGTATTAGGGGTTAAAATATATATAATTATGTATGTGTGTATGGTGGTGTTGGGTGGTTTATCAAGTGTTGGTGTAGCTTGGTTTCCTTTAGACAGTGAGCAATTGAGTGTGGATAACCCAAAATCAGTCGACGTGAAATCCCAGAAGATCGACCGAATGACCTGAACCAGTCGACGTGAATTTCCCACACGTCGACCGACATCTTGGTAGAGAGTTTTTCTACTGTACACGTCTCAAACCAATTGACATGTAGCTTCCCACATGTCGATCGGTATCTCCTATTTTTGGGCAGTGAGTAATGTCACTGTGCATGACCCAAATCAGTCGACGTGAAATGTACATACGTTAACCGGTTCCTGTGTAGTAAATGTTTGTGGCTTATTTTTCCATTTTGCCCTTAACCACTCATTCAAGTGTATTGTCACATATTATAAGACCCAGTATAATTCAATAATTATATTTTAACCACATAAAAGACTGTATTGCCCCGGACATTACCTTATTTATTATATGACACGAGTAAATGACTATTTTACCCTCAGAGTCTTAAACCATTAGAATTGTGGCAAATGACCGTCTTGTCCTTATTGGACTTTAATACATAAATTTAATGTGAAAAGACCATATTACCCTTGGATGATTTTGAGTAGGGTAAAGACCCGTTTAATGATCCGGATCCAGTGGATTTGGGTCGTTACAGTTGTCACTTCCACTGCCTTCCATCTCCATTGTCACCACCACTATTGCCTTCTCCCCATCATCATTGTCGTTGCCTTCCACCATCACCAATTATAATGGTGGTTATCTGTAACTACCCAAACCCGGGGGTCCAGTAAAAATGTCATTTCCGGCCACTCCGCTCGTTTCCCGGCTAGGCCACAGTGATCCAAGCCTCTCAAATACCCCGTGGGACCCATACATTAAAGCTAGGGACAATAAAAAAACCTTCAAATATAAAGTGCCCAAGCCCTTACCACAAGCGCTTGTGAGGTGTCCTACGAGCGCTCATAGGACATCTTCAGCGGCCCCTTGCGCGCGCAGTGACAAGCCCCAATGTCAGACGAACATTTGAACCCCTCATTCGAGCGCTTGTGGCTTCCTATAAAATAGGGCTCTTGCCCCTTTTGTCCCTAAAACTAACTCCCAAACTTCATTTTGGTCATTGTGACCTCAATGCCCTTGTCCTAACACGAACATGCATAAATACAAGATAATGAAATTAATACATCAATTTAAATACTCATATAGTAAAATATGCATATGTATGGAAAATGAAAGCAAGACATCCATTTAAAACCTTTGAGTTACATCATTTACATTAAAACATAGTCCGATGGAATAAAAATACAAGTTTAGACCCTTCCGGTCATAATTACAATGATTTACAAAGATTTACATCAACTATACATTTGATACAAAAATAACAAAAGTAAGCTTCCGTAAACCCTAACTACGTATGTGAGGGTTCGTCATTAACCACATCGTTGTCATGACCTGAAATTTTTAAAAGTAATTGGTGAGTATGGAGGCTCAATAGAAGATGACTAAGGCGACAACTTTGGACTCCTTTGAGCCACACATCACACATACGGGATAAAGGAAAACCGGAATCATACTTGGGGTTTTCATAGCATTTAATTCACTAATCCATCTCAACAATAGTATTTAGGCATTTCAATACAAGTATGCATATAATGTAATGCAATGCCCTATAATTTCCTAAC